AGTTCCATGTTCTCCCAGTACTGCAATTAATACTTTTGTGTATTTCACTGAGAATATTTTGTTTAAATATTTGAATTTGATTTTGAACCGTTTTTTATTCAAAGAAGTTCTTGCAGGCTGTGCATGATTCTTAACTTCTTGTCACTTGTCATTTCAGTATCATAAATGAAGTAAACGTTGAATTTTTTCCTTGAAAAAATTTCCATATGATAGAATATAGTTCTTAGTTCTTGTCAATACCAGGAGAAAATTGTTCAATGGCTTAGGGTTATGACCGGCACGTGCTATAACCGTAAACCATGTCATTTGTCCTTTTCCGGGKGGTGAAATCTTCATCCCTAGCAAAAGAACCTCTCAAAACATCACCTGATTCCAGAAAGTTACCTAATACATTGACAAATATCAAATGTCTAACTGGTCTAAAATCTAAGAAGAGACTTTTGATTAAAAGTCATAGCCTTATCTAAAAATAATTGAGAATAACGCGACGCTAAAAACATCACTTGAATACAGCCATTCGGTCACACCAAGTCTGTGTCGTTTGGTAGCATTGAGCTTCGCTTTCTTGTGCTAGTGAAGTGAAATTGCAAATTTTTTCAATGGCCACTGCATGAAAATATACTCAGCAGAGAGAGATTTGAATGTAATACGACTAAAGAGACTACTGCGTATGATTTTGATATTTTTAGTAAACAATCAATATCTCAAGGGCTTGGCTCAAACTGGATGAAATGTAGATTCATTAGTGTAATAAAAATCATAACGATAATACGTTTATTGCATTCTTTGTAGCGTCTCGTCTGAACAAAATTTTTCGAGCTTTTGATGTTTCGATAAAAAATATCTGATTTGATTGGGCGACCGAGCACCAATGGAGCGCTTCCTGAACTTTAACACGAAATTATGGATCCCCCCGTCTTGTCTACAAAGCCAAGTGCGAGAGCTCATYGTATTATAGCGGCCGTGGAGGCCCACATGGCTTAACTGATAATATAAATTAACGTTTCTGAATATGGATAGATCCTCTCCCGCCATGTACAAGAAAGTACGCTTTGCAGACTCCATAGGACGGTCGTTGGTTTCCATCAAATTCATAGCACCATACCTACATCAAAACTACGATTCGAATCTTCCATTAATAGAACAGAGCTCAGATCGCCTTCACCCTAAATGCAATGAATACGTAAAGACCATATATTCACAACGACTTAGTTTGCTTCCAGTAAGYCTTAATTGCCTGCATGCTGCATCGACAGGCATCTCAGGCTACGTAATGGTGCAAAACATCTCGTACGAAAAAAGAGTTACAGTTCGTTATTCGTGGGATTACTGGGAGTCTTACACCCATACAAATGCTGAATATTTATTCTCAAGCCAAGACGAAGATATTGATGTTTTTGTTTTCGTTATATCTTGGATGAAAGAAATAGTCGAATACTCTTTGGAATTTGCCGTTTGCTACCAAGTGGCTGGTCTTGAATATTGGGACAACAACCAAGGAAGAAACTATAGGATTGATGTGAAGAACAATCTAATGCAGACGAGATGTACTATTCCCTAATTGATGTGCAAAGTGAAATAACTGTTGAAGAGTGTTCACGAGTATTTTTTTTAAAATATGTAAATAAATTTATCCCTTCCGAGACGTAGCTTTCATGTTTTTTTAGAAAGAGTCATTCCACAAAATGTTTCTATAATCTTCTTCGTCAGCAGTTCTTAAACAGACAATATGCCTTAGACATTTTAAAGTAGTAGAATCTCAGTATTCTTAAACATCTTTTTAACTAGGAAATACAAAAAGGCGCTTGTCTGCTTTTGTAAAATAACATTTTCAAGAACTTAGATGATATTTAGAGCCTACAGAATCGAAAATGTAAAAAAATTAAATTGACGAAATTTGCAAACTGGAAAATTACTTGAGACACGAACTTTGAACTTCATTGGTGTGACTGCTATTGTTCGTAGGTTATTCGTGTACCGAAATTCAATCCACTTTGGAATCCAAAGAAAATTATGAGCTCCTTCGCCATTCCTTTTTGGTGAAAAACTGTTGAGGCTTCTTTTCAGATTCTTTATGAGGAATCTAAATTTCACTGGAAAAGCATGACGAAAACATCGACATTAGCATATTGTGACGATCAAACAGCCCTATTGTCCATAGAATTCTTTTATGCCTGCAAAAGATTCTACTTTTCACCCACGAATCTTGCCAACCTAGACAATTTTTGGGATTTCCTTTTGAAATTGTCTACGAGCTGRCAAATTGTTTTKTTTTTTTTAGAAATAAGCACCCCTTCAGGTTGCTTGGTTGCTGCAAGGGCTGGAAGAAAACTCGTTGTCACATCAGTCTTAGCAAGAAATAATGCACTTTATTCTTTATCATAAAATAACAAGTATTCGTACTATTAAAGTATCATTCCCGAAGACGTTATGATCCAGTTGGTTTATTGTTAGATTTAATCCCGGGGTTCTATTTGGTTGCACAAAACCTGTCTTTGTTCATGTTATTACATTTCTGCAAGATACCAACTCTCGCGTGACCACGAGTTGCTGCACACATAGAAACGACACTTTTTCATTATTTTTTTTCAACGAAAAAAATTATCTTGCATCTGTCCGTGAGTGCTTGTTAAGTTCCATTACCTGGAAAATGTCTAGGATTCGTATTTTGGAGAACTAGATACGAAGATGCTACGAATTAGATTATTTTATACAGCAACTCGCRTGACCGTTCGTAAACATCACCCGATCGTGCTAGTATGCATGCGTGTAGTCATTTATAAATTCAAGCTGACCAATAATCTCGGTCAGTCTACGGAAACTTCGAGCTRGATGGTAAAATGAGTGCCTCAGTTCAGTATTTCGTAAATTCTGAAAGAAACCGACCCTTGCAGAAGAAAGTTCGGTTTGCAGATGCGTGTCCGAAATCAGGAGTCGAATTTACATCCGTGAAGATCATCACGCCGAACAATAGCAACGAAAACTTGCTCTCCATCTTCAAAGAAAAGGAGCCATTGCCCGTAAATCATGTGAAATGTCAGTTTACCTTAGAAAAAAACTTATCAGCTCTATTACAGAAGGTGAGCAAGAATCAAGTTTGTCTTGAGAATATTATCTGTTCGCAGTTTGCCGTGCTTGGGTTAATTCGTGTTCAAAACTTATGTTTCGAGAAAGATGTCACTGTCAGATACACCAGAGATAACTGGAAAACTTACAGGGACATTTGGTCTGATTATGTGTCTTCGGCACCGGACAAATCCTCTGATAAGTTCACCTTCAGAATCTCTCTTCATTTTTGGCTATTTAACGATAAGCAGAACATTGAATTTGCAATTCGATATAAAGTCAACGGCAAGGAATATTGGGACAATAACAATGGCTCAAACTATCGTGTCAAGTGTTATAGCGAGAGAAGTATTTTTAGGTGACAAAAAGCAACACTTTCGAGTCAAGTTTTAACATTCGCCAAAACTTATTTCGTCGACGACTCTTTTATTAACAGAGACGTTTCGGCGTGCATTCTTTGCATCGAGCAAAGAACCGGYAAAATCAAAAGCAGGAAAGCGAAAATGTATTCTTACATCTGTCAGAAGCAGCTGATGGGAACCGATTTTTTTTCCTGCCATGGCGTGACCTGTTCATTGATATTAAAGTCAAGCGAAAGACAAGTCGAAAGACAAGTAAGAAATTCATGGGTCTCTTCATGTCTGTGAATGCTGCTTGGTGGATATGACTTGTATGAATATCACGCCAGAAGARATCACTCGGCTACACTTTGTTTGTTACAGACTGGACATTGAATAACRATGCAGTCCGGTGAGATTTGACAAAAGACACCCAAGGAACAATATCCATGACAATGAAAAAATTTAGCGGATTCAAAATCCGTTAAGACAAAGYTCGATGTTAGTCCAGTACATATTTGTGTGACAAAAAGATTTTCCAAATAATTTACCAAGCGATAAGTTAACACGTTATCAATGAAATCTTTAATAATATATAGTTGATAATTATAAATGAAATGCCTAAGTACGAGACTACACGCGGTCGACTCGCTCTATCCTGTGGAGAATTAAACACACAAAGGGACAAGGAAATGATAACTCCTGCTCATGATTAAATTAACTCAAGTTATTAATCTCGATAGTTTTGTAGTGACATTGTACATTCATTGTATACATTCTGCTTTTTTGTCAACACCAACTTTTTTCCTTGTCTTTTCATCTAAATTCGTTTAACGTACATGCATTAGATAATGTATCCAAGATATTCTATTTCATGTAAGTAGAGAATGTATTTTTTTTTTTTTTTTTACATTTTAGCTTAATTCTAAACCTGCAATATTCAGTATGCTGCATTCAACATTTTTTTGAAATAGCAGGCTATATCAGTTATAGAGTGCACGCACTAAAACAGTGAACATTAAATAGTACTAATTAGCACTATTTCATACAGAATCCGTTGTTTTCTATTGTTTATTTATCACTATTTAGTGCTAAAATATAGTATTTGTTTCACGGATTTAGTGTGAGCACTCTATTATATAGATTACGTGTATATATGCATACTATATTAATGTCTAGCATTGGTATAAACAGCCCCATATAAGGTATAATGAACGAAACCGGACATTTGTACAGAAGCTAGACTATAATACGATATGAAATGCCTAAATACAATAAGATAAGCTCCAAGCTACCGTACTATCAGATATTAAGAGATATTGGATCGATATTGAATAAATTAATAAATAAAATATCAATAAATCAGTTATTAATCTTTATATATATGAAAACACAATTAGAAAAGATATTTAAATGTTAAATATTTGTATTGTTCTATAGAATATAAAATTGTTTTGTAAAATAAAAATTCGTTGTGAAAAGAATCTTAGTAGTGCTCATAAATTGAGGAGAGGGTGCGAGTGTATCGCGTAGTCCAATTAAATGTTCTTGTTTTTATAATGAAATATTTTCTCCTAATACGACTGAAGACATTCTAGTCTGTCGTCCTCGGAAGTMAATGTCGTTGGTCAATGAAAAACTTAGACTTTCCGGCGACCCAGAAACGCAAAACCCTCTTTCAGCAGCAAACTGCTGATGACGCTCTACTAGTCTCTCTCTCTCTCTCAAAAAAAAACAAAAAAAAAACAGTCAGTGCCGTATGCGTGCCTTGCTGTGACTGTCAACATGATGTTATCTAGAACATTTCTAATTGGCTGATTGTATTCTCGCGCAATGTGATTGGTCTGGCAGTGCCGTGACCTTGGCGTGACCTTGTCCGCGCCTTTATCCTGCCATGTTCCGCGTGTATTCGTT